TTCATTGAAAACAGAAACAATAAAAAACATATCTGTACAAGTTTGGAATCGATATGGCCAGTTGTTTAGAATATGCAAATATGCTTTTGTTCGTATTTACAATTATTACGAAACAGGTTATCAAATAATCTATTTTCACATGGCGAGACTTTCAAGCGGCCGAAGAATTAAAAACCATAAATTTTCATTGAAGAAACAAACTCTTCCAAGAAAATTACCAAATCTTTTAGTTCCATTGATACCTACCTACCGAAAACGTTGCCAGACGAGCCTAACACAAATTTGCGGATATTTCTCGTCAACCAGATATTATTTCATTTAGAAGTTTCTGGTAAATAAATGGGATTATTGTAATGAACACATAAAACAAATAAATTGTGATTATTATTTGTTGTTTTAATCCATTAGACGCTTATAGGCTTATAAGTATACTTTTCTTGAAAAATCGGTATTAAATTCAGTGAAACATCTTTGTGCCTTAATTCCTATTGGTAAACTGGGATTTTGAATAGAGGTCGCAGGAAAATTTTGTATGGTTTTATGGTTTATTTACATAATTTTCTTATTTACAATGAATGTTTTTGATATATAATACAAGTTCTTGATATTATTTATTTTAATTACATTTAATAAACCATAAAACCACAAAAATCTTTTTTTAACACAAATTATATTTCAATAAATTTTCAGTAGCGAATTATCGATACACTTAATTGTATTTACATCATAAAATTTATTTATTTTACTTCATACTATGTCAAGTTTGACGTTTTACTGGATCGAACTATTCCGGTAAAATCAAAAAAACGGACAAGTCCGATAAAATTGAGCCAAAAACACGGAGGTAGAAGAGACACTCTTCTACCTCCGTGACCAAAAAGGACAAGTTTTCCATTTCCGGAAGCGGCCACTGACCCTTTTGGGTCTCTTTTGCTTTACCTGTTATTGTAAATACAAATGTAAATTTAGTACTTCTGTAACCGTCCTGTATTAAACATCGAAACCGAACGCTGTCTATTATCTCGCACGCAAGAAAACAAAGGTCCTTGGAGCAATATCAAAGTGCAATTCGGTATCACATTGTCGTATCAACCAGATTACAAAAAATACTGGTAGGACGAGCCGAGTTGCACAAACATTGGTCCTTCGAGACGGATTGCACAAAACATTCGTCCATCGAGTCGGATTATACAAAACAATAAGTCCTGTAAAGTGTTATAAGTACTATGTGTTTAAACATATGATGCTGATTTGCACGAATAAACAAATTAAAACATTTACCAAAGAGCGGTTGCTAACGATGTCAGAAAAAGTGACTCGATTTGGATTTTTTCTCAAAATAATAATAATTTTATCGAATAAAAAAGTATGTTGACAGTATGAAATAAAATACATAACAACATACGTCCGGTAACTCTTTTCGCAGTACTCGTTTCGAAATTAAAGACTCGGCTACCTACTCGTCCTGAAACATATCACTCGTACTGTAAAATTTGAGCTACCGGACCGGACCGTATTTAGAATAACTTTAATTACCATTTATGTTTTCATCAACACTAACAAGTATTTAAAATAACAAGTAATAATTTGTTTGTATTGTTTATTCATTATAATAATTCCATTTATTCACCAGAAACTTTTAAACGAAATAAAATCTAATCGACTAGAAATAACGGCAAAGTTGTGCTAGGCTCATCTGGCAACGTTGCAAATTGTATAAATGGTTACTAAGAGATTTTTACACATTGTTTTCGTCGCCCTCTGTCGAGTGGTAGCTTTATTAAATGTATTGTTGCTGTGATTTGGGTTATCTACGCGCGCGATTGGTGTCCAAGCTTTTCGCCGGCGTTTGACGGCCGACTGTTGGTGCGCCATCTCTTGTTCGCCGGCCGTTGGCCTGTTCGCTCTAAACAATAGCATGGGTCTATCTATATGTATTTAATCAATGCCATTACCTAATCCCGACAACCAACCTGTAAAGTGTAAAAACTACCACCCTTAACTATTCTTACCAAATTCATAATAGCACGATCAAACATCACCGCTGGACGGACAAAATTTCTGAACTAGAAAAATTGTGTTCATTTTATGAAAAAGAAAATCAAATTTTAAGAAAACAATTGGACAAATCGGTATAGTACTTTTCTGCTTATATGTACATATAATAAATAATAAAGTATTAGAGTATGTAATTTAATTTCAGACAATGTTGCAGTTCAAGTCGATGTACAAGACTTTGAAATTAGTGCATTACGAAAACAAAATAAAGACTTGCAAAAAAACGTTGCTACGCTTGAACTTGAAAAACAATATTTGCAAGAATTTTTGGACCACTTTGAAAACACATCGAAAAAAATTGAACAAATTGAAAAGAATGCCAGCAAAAATGACATCACAGCTATATTTATTTTAGAACAAATAGCAAACTATAATTTAAAACGTCCTAGGTGGTGAGAAACTACACTAAGATATTGGGTTGCTTGGCGCTTTGCTTCACCAAAGGGCTATGATCTGGGTCGACGGCTTTTTATTCGAGCTCCCTGCCGTTCTACCATTGTAAAATATGTAGCTTGCCCAAGCATTGGTATTACACAGCTCATACGATAGAGACTTTCAGTGGAGGCAGCCAAATATTAGGATCCAAAAGAACGTCTTGTAGCTCTTATAGTAGATGAGATAGCTATAAAAGAGCGAATGTACTATAGCAGATCAGAAGACAAATTTTATGGGGTAGAAAACACTGACAATCAAAGTTTCATTGGCACAAGGACCCAGATAGCAAATAAATTACTATGCTTTGTGATCCACGGCTTTTGCAGAAAATTTACTATTCCTGTTGCCTATTTTTTCAGCAGAGGCACATCTGGAAAACAGTTGTATGAGATGACAATGTGCATTTTACATGAGGTCACAAATTGCGGTTTCAACATTATTCGATTAATTAGGGACAATCACAAGTCTAATGTTGCCTTGTTTCGTCATTTTGTAAATGGGTCTTTAAAAACAAGCATTCTTCATCCAGTTGTGGATGGATTGCAATTTTTTATGTCGTTTGATTATTGTCGTGCGATTAAAAATGGCCGGAATATATTTTTAAGCCGTAAAATGGCTGATAACAATAGGGTAATTTCATCAATTTATCTTAAAAATATATACAACATTCAAAAAGATATATCACAAAGCCAGTAAAATTTTTAACGAAAAAGCACATTGAGCCTAACACATTCGAAAAGATGAATGTTTTAAGGACTGTTCAAATATTCTCGCCAGTGATTTCCAATATTTTAATTTACCTGCGGAAACTTAAAACTAGTAATTATGAGTTTTCTAACGCTGGTTCTGCTATTAAATTTATGGAAATGATGCATAGATTTTTCAAAATACATGATGTTAGTGAACTAAAATAACGCCTGTGTGCTAAAAATTAATTAAATCACTGTTTTTGTTTAAAAGAATTACGTTAATAAAAAGGCAAAAATTAATTAATTTGTGTTTTTAAATCTAATAGTGCTGTGGGTGCAAAACAATTGCCTGCATAGGCGAGTTCAGTTTTGTACACCCCTGACATTTTTATCAAAATCTGACAAGTTATTGAAAATAGTTCGGTTTTCTTTAATTTTTAAAACAGAAATCATTTTAACCTACGGAAAATGCCGTACAGACCTAGATGAAACAATCAGGACTCTTATCGAACGGTATCCCGATGAAGAATTTACCATTTTTTTATATTTGAAGATTTTAAACTGAGATAGAATATAATAATAAGTATAATAATATAAAAATAAATAGAAAAATATAAAAATTCAAATGACATGATCATGTAAATCATAAATCTTTTTTTTTTTTTATTATAAGACGAAGTTGCCGATTTGGATTCCACCATGAATCAATAATTTCTGGGAGCTTGGCTTTTAAAAAAAAAATCTAATTAAGTTTCCAGGGCGGAAAAAGCACACTTAATTTCTATAACAATTGAATCATGACTAATTACTCCATCTGCTTCTGTTGTTTCTGCCTACCTGGTAAGCTAAGAGTCTATATATTTTTAAATTTAGAGGACCTTATAATGTAAAGATATATAAGTAATTCAATACATACGGACGATAAGTGCCAAATATTTATCTAATGTTCATAATGTCCTTTGGATAAGTTTATTCTATTCTTTTCTTTTTCAGTGATTGATGATGATTTTGAAGTTTGGCTAACTTGGGATCAGCAGTAATTATTATAGCTGTTGAAGGCAGTTTTGTAAAAAATCCATTTTTTTATTTTTTATTCTGATATTGGGTTCATATAATATTCCTACATAATTTTACGATTCCACAACCTCCAGGTAGAATACACTCAGTCACCTCATTTGCATACTTTCTCAACAAGGGTTTTAAATCCGTCCAATCTCTCAATAGTGGCCAACCCTATCGTAAATCAGACACCTTCTTGACTCGTTCTTGACGAAAGAAGACGTTTGGTTGCCTACATTTACAAAATTGACAGCTTAATGAAAAAATAAATTCAATAGCCGGATGAGCAATAATATTATCTATCTACAAGCCAAAATATGTACGTTATAGTTTTGGCTTAAAAAGTAAACAACGTTTTTCCGTTTTCATTTTTTATAAAAAAAAAAAAACGAAAGCCTGTAATGCTATATAAAAACTGTTTCCATGAAGATTTTTGCATTGCAGACAAGTAGATATGTCGCACAAGTCTTCAAATGCTTTTGTAAGGATATTGGAAGTGGCGTTTTGCCATATTTCGGTAAATTTTAATGACTGTAAGGACGAGTCCTAATGTGCGAGTATATAATTAAAATAAAAAGCAATCATTTGAAGTTATGTGTTATTGATTGTTGGTAATTAAATATAACTAAGCATAATTAATTGTAATTAACTGTAAGTAGTTAAAATTCAAAGAGTTAGAAGAAAAAAAGTAGTGTGTGCTAGTTGGTACTTGTTACGGTAACTGTGAAGCGGAAATTAAAGATGTATTTTTTGTTTTAGTCCTCCAGAGGAAGCCCAGATCACAACGAACCAGTATTGGAACGCCTCCCACCCCCAGTTGTCTCACTTGCCGCAGCTCCCTCACCCCCTCTCCACTCCCAAGGTGCAGGTGATGCCGGCCCACCAGATAAACCCCCTCCACACGGAAACGGATCCGCTCAGTACCAACGAGGAGGAGGACAAAGATAAGTTCAAGTGTTTGTATCTGTTGGTTGAGACGGCCGTGGCGGTCCGACAGCGCGAAAAAGAGCAAGGAAACGTTCAAGTATAGCCGCAAATCTGGGGCATCGCTCGTTTCACTTGTGCCTTGCTTAGTTTAGTTCGCGCAGAATCTGATCAGTCAGTTTTATGGCAAAAAGTTTAAACACTACAACGAAAGACTGTTGAAGATTTTTGTACAAGTGTGATATTTGTAATTTTAAACGGTTTGCCAAAAACGCGGTGGTCGTCCTACAGTTGTGCTAAAAGTATTGGCAGAGGTTTGTGGTGAAACTTTTTGTTATAAGATTTCATATTTTACTTAGAACTTGTCTAATGTAGTTGTTTATTTTTTCTAGTTTTTAGCGTCTTTGGAGTGACATTTTAATGAGTTTTTCATTTTTTCAAAAGAGTGATATTATGTGGTGTTTACTTGATGTAACGAAATTTTTGTAATACCATTATTGGAAATTTTGGTTGTTTTTCTTCTGACTTTTTAGAGCGCGGATTATCTCATTAAAATTTTGCTTGAATCAGGGTAGCATCAACACGTTCTGTGATAACTGATATGTGCAAAATAGAACAAATTCTCACTTTGGTACTGTCCAAATTCATGACAAAAGCTATGTGCCATAAGATATTTGATGAGATAATCTGGTCATCGAGTACTTAGATTTTGATCTGATGACGTGTCATAAAATAAGATTAAACTATTTCAGTGGCAGATGTAACTTCTAACAGTGTACCTGTTGTGGCATTTTCCTCCCAACATTGTCTCGATCCATGTTAAATATTTGAAATTTTGACGATACATTTTAAAGTGTATTCTACTAATAGTTTTCTAAGAAATTTTTATATACAGATGACGTTGTACATTTTGTAAAATCAACTTTCATGTTTAATATTGTTGATAAGATATAGTTAGCATTTAGCTTTTTTCTATTAAGTTCTGAATTAATTTATGAGGTACTCAGAAGTGAATTTTTGTAAATATCTCGATTTTGTACGACATGTTTTGTTTTGTATTTTTCATGCATATTTCTTTCTTTTGTTAGCACCATCCGCTCTCATTTCGGCACAGATTACGTCGTTTTTATGGTAAAGTTGAAAATTCTCAATGTATATTCTGTAGAACTGTTTGCTCAAATGTGACAAGTACAAAATCTTGTATATACTTAATAGATATATATACTAAGCAATATGTAGAAGGTAACTATTTTGTGTAGTAATTTTCTATTTTTACTATAAATTTGATGACCTTTCAGCCACAGAGAGAAATATGTGTGAAATACTTCCACTGCCAGAATTACTATAAGTATATTGAGGATGGCTATTATTTACCTCAAATCTTTGTATCTAGGTAGTGTTGTTAATAAATATGTTTGAAACGCGACACTTGTATACTTAAAATCGTCCCTATATTATACATAATAATACTGTTATGTAATAAACCCATACACTGTACTGGTACGACGCCTAAATGGTTTTCTCGAGGGCTTTTTACTATGTACGGCGATGATAGGTGCCTCATTATCGGTGACGGCGTTCACATAAAGAAAAGCATGGAGCGGGTTGGCGGTAGTCTCGATGGCGGCCTCCAGAAAAACCTCGAAGCGGCGTTCGCGAATCATCAGGAGGAACGCAAAATTATTTAAGTAGAAACCACTATCAGAAACAAGTTAGTTGAACCCTGTCAATGTTGAGAGAATTTGGGTCTAGTCAAATCCATTCTAATCGAGTCGGAATTATTCTGTACATAATCGCTGTATAGTTAGTCGTGTAAATTAGTACTACTGAGGAATAAATTACTGAGTTTTACCCACACCGATTTTTAAATTACCGATCATCGTAACAACACGTAGTGATTACCTCGTATTACGGGTAATTTTTGAACACATGACCCTAATCGTTTTTTTTTTTAATAAGTTGTAAATAAATCCATCTTTTTGGCGTTTTATGGGTCCTAGTTGCAGTGCCATATATTTTTACTTCCCGAGCGTAAGCGAAGGAAGTATTGTAATCGAGTCCGTCGGCTAACTGTCTACTTTTACTTTTTCTCGACCTTTCATGAGTTCGAAGAAATACGTCTATCGTTTCCGTCTGTCTGCCCTCACGATTTTTATTAGACAGATGGATAATCGCCGAAAGTACTGGGCTGATTGTTGTCAAGTTTTGTATTTATATCAAGAATGTTATATAGATGGTATAACGCTGACCAAAATTTGACCCACCAACAATGTGATGACATCACTTCAAAATTGTACATATAAGGAATTCACGTTCGGTAGATGTAACTAGATTTGGTAACTTTTTTTTTAAGCTGTGTAACTGCGGACATAATTGTTCTAGTGTATAATGTATTACTGGAATGTCAGAAAGTAGCTATCAAAAATGTGACATGTAAGTAAGTAAAGGTCAAATATCGAAAATGTGATGGTTTTGTGGTAATCTGGTGAATCTATTTTTGAACCAAGGAGAAAATCGCATCCCTCTAAAAGCCCAAAGAGCAACCCGCATGTAAAATTTTGAATCTTTTCCCTTCACTAGTTTTTTTAGGAGGACAAGCTTTGATGTCATCATCATGGATCCACAATTTCACCATGGATCCGTTCTGGTATATCCATGTCTCATTCAAGAAAATGAAAAGTAAATCTTCACCACAATCACGCAATTGGAGATAGGTACCGCCTTAGAAATTTGATTCTGGCAGCTATAACGTGTTTAAAATGTGAAAAACTTCGCCTTCGGAAACCTAAACCTAACGTGTATTATGTACAATTATTTTCAAAGCCAAGTGTTTTACCTCTTACAAAACAATAACGATTATATAAAACTTAAAAACCAATTGTAGAACCGAACTAACAAAGCATGTAGGTATATAAATCTGCGCAGTCGTCTTTCTGATTCTGATTATAATATTAACGGCACAAGCGCCGCTGTATCTGTATTATTTTAAAATTCGAAAAACACTCGACAACACTAGCGAACTTTACGGAGAATATTTCTGCCACCAGTTTAACTGGTTCCGTTTTACCCAATTTTTTGAAAACCACGAAATATTTCTTCTGCGTCATTCTTGAGTCACAGACAACAACAGGTGAGAATTGGGAATAACTTATCTACTCCCTTTTCTGTAACATCGGGGGTCCCACAGGGTTCACACTGGTCCTATTTTATTCTTGTTATTTATTAATGACATAACATCTTGCTTTCACCATTCGATTTTTTTATTATATGCTGACGATTTGAAGCTATTTAAATCTGTTCAGTCTATGACTGACGCAATGGAATTGCAACTTGACCTTAACAGATTACATGCATGGTCTTTGAGCAATTTACTACCTCTAAATCTCAAAAAGTATTATGTGATCTCTTTCTTCAACTCTAAATCATTGGTAACTGTTAATTATCAGTTAGAAAGATCTGCCATAGCTCGTGTGAAAGAAATCAAGGATTTAGGCGTTATTTTTAATTCATTCCTTACATTCAAGCAACATTATCATATTTACAATAAATCAATTAGAATGTTAGGCTTCATATGGCGTCATTGTTGTGATTTATCTCAGTGGTCCATTAAATTGTTGTACACTTCATTTGTGCGTTTTCATCTTGAATATTGTTCGCCAGTATGGAATCCATATTATAGAGTTGACTGTGATCTACTAGAAAAAGTTCAAAAGAGGTTTCTTCGTTTGATTGAATTTAAACTTAATCGTAGTCATCATCAGGGTGATTGCTGATTATACTTGGATTTGTAGTTATCTCAATATAAACTCTTTAGAGGATAGGCGTTGTATGTCGGATATTTGCTTTCTCCATGGTCTCATAAATGGTAACATTGATAATTCTTTACTGTTAAGTAAGTTAACGTTCTTAATTCCTGCAGTATTAAAAACCCCTAGCGCTAAATTATCCGATTACCAAGCAAGCGTTTCCCTGCACCAGGTTGCCTATGTTTAACGATTTTTTTTTGATGATTTTTGTTTCTCTTTCAAATTCAAATTATTCAAGTGTGATTTCGCGTCGCTGTTAATTAATTTCAGCGCAAAAACTTTGATTTAAATTCGGTCACCACAACATCTATGTCACATGTAGACAGGCTTATCCAAAAAAAAAATTCCGCATTGGCAAAATCATCTGCATTCATATCAGGTTTTTCCTCGATGAAACAATCATCCTAACCGTAGTCGGAATTAGCACCATGATGTCGAGACTTTTTTTATTTTTGCTTAGATGTTTTATTTTAATTTTTTTTCCTACGTAAAAATAATTCTGTAAACCTTCCAATACAGCTGTCGCTACTTTTTTCAAAAATCTCTTTTAATAAGCAACTTTTTTAGAGTTATAGTCTATGGCAGCAACATAACATCTTCCTTCGTAAGAACCTTTTAATGAAAAATTGATTCTTTTGCCACCAATCATTTTATTAACGACTGCATTAAATGTTTCAGCGGCATTATTGTCCACATCATACAACAAACTAGAGGACAGATTTGCTACGCGATTTATGTATCTCCAAAATTTGTTTAGTGTACTACTAGTAGGGTCATCGTTAAAAGGATATTGTTCACTACTCCCACTTTATCACAAAAATATGATTCACACTTAGAATGATCAGATCACCAAAAATGTGAAGCGGACCATTCAAAATATCTTGTTTCAAGTTATTTACTTTTTCCTGCTATGATGTTGCTTCCCCTTTGCGAAATTTTATCGCACCTGCAGTTGCACTATGAAATTTTAAAATATTATTACGCAAAAACTGTCGCATATGAATATTTCCTCCAGACGTTTTTGATAGTTCTCGTAATTTATTGCAATAATTACGTAAGATGTGATTTCGGCATTCAATTTTTCTACAAAAATGTTTGGACTGTATGGTTTATTGTCTCGAATTTTTTTATAAACACTACTGTCACCATCACCTACAATTTTTACATAAATTAAACCATGCATTTCTATAGATTTTTGGAATCTCTCTAATATAATACTACTTTCCATTGCTGTAGAGACCTTGTTCCAATTTTTGAAACATTTATGAGGTTTATCCTTTTTAAAATTTTTATTACGTGTGCATGTGAGACTATATTTATTTTTTACTCCCACATATAAAATTTTCCTGGTCCTAGCGCCTATAACGCATGCTACTCCAGAAAGAGCGTTGTAATTATTTTTATATGATCGCTTACTCCACTCTCCATCAACGATTACCGAAATGCTCTATTCGTCAAAAATGTTTGCTTTTTTTCTGAATTCATTGATGTAGCACTTTCTTTCTAATTGAAATGGCAAAATAAAAAAAAAGAAACATGACATAGTTACCTTTGAAAATAATTTTAATGACATGTAAGGTGTTTCTTGCAAAAATGGTCTATCCAAGTGAAACTGAGCGCACAGAATTATTAATGATTTATCGGTTACGGTGACAAAAGACGAAGTTTTGCTCAAATAGGTAGTAACACTTTTCAATGAAATTTAAAAAAAAATAATAAAATTAAATATTGTTTAATAATGTATAGACTGATTCTACAAAAATGGGAATTATTTCATAGTAAATATGGATATACACGTTATCTAAATATTTTGAGATGAGGAGTATTTTATGAATTGATCGATGTTGTATCAAGGCTGAAGCTAAAAGGATCATTCAAAATAACAAATATTTATGATTTTATAAGCAATGAAGTGAAATCTGAGTTCTTGATCCTCTGAAATGGAAAGCTTGGACTTCCTCATGATACTTGGTGCAATAATTTTATGAAAAATCCATATGGATCACCATATCTCGTTCAGTTAACGATTCTTTTAGTGCTTTTAATGCGCTGTACTGATGAACAATATTGGTCTGATGATAACAAAATTTTTTCAAATCATTCTCTAAATTTAAAATCAGTTCTTGAAGTGACAATTCCAAATGTTGTAGATGAACTTGATGTCAATGGCATATTTTCTATAGCGCAACCATTTGCTCTTGTTTGTTTAGATTCTTGTTTCGAATAATAAGTTGGCTGTTTCCGTTCTCTCTCGTTTTGTGGCCCAGGAAACTGAGAACAGGGAACTGAGAATTTTGTCTTTATCACGTAAAAAAAGCTTTTAATAATTTCGTATGTAGTACAACATTTGCACCAAGTGTTTAATTGATTTATGAAAAACATAAAGTTTCAAAAATTGACAAATGTTAAATAAATACTTACCAGGAAACTGATAATTTGACTGAAACCACACGCGTTCACTGACGAAAAACACTATTTAATAACGGACATTGAAAGTTTATCGTCAAATTGCTAACACGCGCCAAATAGACATCAAATTGGTCCAAACTGTTTAATTGGTATCTTCGCAAAAGTAACGTGATATTGTAATAAAAATTAAATATTGCCGACCAGGGAACTGAGAAACAAAACCGGTGGACCCTGTTTCACGTTGGTTAAAAACAAAAAAATAATAAATATCAATTCAAATATGCTAATATCAATTATTTTCACTAATATTAATTAAATATGTGCCACAATACTTGAATTAGCAGCAATGCTACTTATTTTATAACACACCACATGTCAATTTACAGGGTGAGGACAGACCAGGGAACTGAGAATTTTATGTTTTAAAAATGTTTCTATAAACTTAATAGCATATTTTATCAACTATTTATCATTTGCCGGTGTCAATTTATGTATGATCTTTTGTTGTAAACAAACTTCAAGACAATATTTATGTTACATAAGGACAATCATTGGTGGTCTTTTGAAAATTCCCATTTTTGTAGAATCAGTCATTTGCCATTTCAAACAGAGAGTAAGTATGAATGTGTTATATCAATGAATTCAGAAATGCATGAATTATATGGTAGTGTACCCCTATACCACGGTTGTACAGTTAAATCCATAAGCTTGTAACCACTCGTTAAATTGTAAGGTTGGCATTACAGCCAATGGTGTTTTTTACATGAACAGATTGGTAACGACGCATGTGTCAAAATTTGACAATCACGCGCGAGAGAGTTTTATGTAAATATCTCACAGTTTGTTATTAAACCATATCATTGAAAAATTGTACTAACACGGCATATTGTGATAAATAAGCAGATGAAAACGGCACTTGCCAACTGTCACAATGAATTGAAACTTGCTTATCCCCAAGCATCCTCCCGAGAACTTGAATTCAAGCTTGCAAAAATCTTTTCAGTATGTAGTTATTCTTATACCATGGACAGAGAGTACTATACTATGAGAGTAACGTATCGACATTCGGACCTTTTTTCATGCTATTACAACATGGTGGTCTGTCGAAAGACTTTTAGTTTTAACTACCTCAAGTTGAAAGTTTATATCTCGCTTTTTAGTATAACATTGTCTTTTCAAGTTTTATACACACTCTTTATATCCTACACAATACAACTAAATGTCCCTCATTAAATTCAAACACTGCATAAACTTTCCATAGTGTTCCTGATGTCAAAATTATAACCCAACACCAACCTGGAGAACCTTTACAAGAAGCAAAGTGGAAACCAAAACAAAAATCGCAGTGGTATTCAAATTTGGAATTTAAAGAAGATCTAACCTACCGTATATTTGACAAAAACAAAAAAAAATGAGTTTTTTACTATTTGGGAATTGTTTATTTTTGCGAAAGAACATCTGCAATATACAGCAAGTTTAAATACTTTACGTCGAGTATTAAAATCCATGGGATTCAGATTTAAGAAAGTTAACAACAGAAAAATAATTGCTTTTTGGTTATTTGGTCTATGTGTTCCCAATGTTTCTAACCACTCCTGTAACAGCAAGTTTAAATAAGCCGTCAAATAATTTTCAACATACCTATTATTTTAGCTTCTGAATTTTGTGAAGTTACATTTTGTTCATTATTACCACTAAAATCCTCAGGACGGAGGAGCGTAGCCAGGCCTATCACCTTCAACCAAATTTCTTGTACACTTTGTAAATAATTAGTAGTACCAAATTAGAGTTATTAAACATAACATTAAAGACTTCTTGGTGTCTCATTTTTTTGATGAAAAATTGGTCATCTGTTGCGACTAATTAAGGTGAACAGTTATCTACCCATTATAAACAATTTTGGTGTTGCTTGCGAGATTGATCATTTCAATTGAGAGAGCTGGTCCTTCGAGTCAAATCATATCACGGTTAGCCACACATATATCACGTACACTCATGTACAATAATTTAAACAAATTCTGAATTAGGTATTCAGTTATTCCCCATCTGTAAAGCGATTTTTATGAAGCAGCAACAATAAATAAATCAATTCACCTTGTTTTTTTACCAGCCCAATATCTGATTTTATTCGTGACCACAATATTTTTGGGTTCGTTTTATCGTAATTCGTAAACGTATCAACTGCAAGTCTAAATTACAGCAGGTGGCATTCTTCTTTCTGCAGATGAAAGATAAAACACGTTTCCATTTATCGTTGCTCTTGTATCATAATTACCATGAAGACTCAGGTTATCGTGTTTTTATTGAAAATTGTTTATCAATTTTTACAATATTGTGACAAGTTACAATGATAATTATGAAATAACTTGTGCAGGAGTGCAAGAATTGCAATGAAATCGAACGTAATCACGATCGATCGCGAATACATGAATGAACTGACATTATATTGACAGGTCACCAGGCATGTCACTAGGTTACTAAAAAACAGATTTACACTGAATAATTTTTTAAAATTTACACTAGGGAGTGGTTACAACCTTATGGATTTGAGTTTAGAATAGATAGGTTTGTACACTAATGGCTTGGGATGGCGACGCTTCTTTTCGATCCCTATATCCATGGAAAGGACACATACAGCTAGCGCCTCTACCTTGTCGAGCGGAAATCGTTCTAGTTATTTTGGGGATTTTCGTTTACATTGCTTTATGAACAATACAAAATTTGTAAATGACATTTGATCGGAGTCGATAAATACGATTTCTTTTATTAATTACATCGGTTATAGACAGATGCCTATAGAGTTCTGTGTCCCTAAAACGTCAAAAACCAGGCGACGCGATCGGCAATTGGCGTCGCTGGCCAGGGATATGCAAATGTATACTCAGGATCACGAAGCAATGCGTACACGTCATGGATGACGTAGATCCGTTACCAACACTAAATCAAAAATACGCGCCGCAATACGTGGCAATACGGATCAAAATCGATCAATTTGGGGGAAATTATATTGGTACGACTGATAGCGAAACATATGCTAAAGTTTTATCGATTTCACAAGTGTCATTGGTGTCAACTTTGGTTATGTTGTGTTATTGTTTGATTTTTAGCGTTTTTCTACTTTTCTGCTCGTGTAATCGTATCAGTTCTTTTCAGAACTATAACAGTTCTTTTTAGAACTCCAAGTTAACTGTCGTATACCGTGGTACGTGTCGCTTGCTTGAACGTAAACATTCCACCATGCCGAAGCCCTTGCACAAAGATGCAAAGCAAATGGTCGCTAATTTAGTGGACTATTTTGCTAAAGAACGCGATAGCGGGGGACCTCTTTTACCACTAACAGCTGTTCAAGACGTAAGTAGGTGTATTTTATTACAATTACTAATGCAGTCACATTGTACAGAGGGTTGCTGCTACTCTGGGTGTGTGTGTGCGAACAGTGAACTCCGTGGTACAACAAATAAAAACCGGAGAAGGTGTACATTCTCCCAAGAAATAGAGACCCCCGAACAAAGCAAGTGTGTGATATTAGCACTTCGGAGCAGTGTGCTATTCGAGAATACTTATATGGAATGGTCGAAAAAAGTATGAATTCGATGCGCACGCCTTATAGATATTAACGATTATTTTACAGAAATACATGTTACACGATCGTCATTACTTGACTGCTTGAAGAAGAAACATATATTTGAGGGTTCTCTGAGCTCGTTAGGAAGAATTTTACATTCTCTATTGGGTTTCGTTATTCTCCAACAAGTGTACAGAAGCGTCTTATGGAATTACATGTTATTCATGCAAAAACACACTTCTTACGTGAATACATGCACAATCAGCAGAACCCAAATCCTTTGCCATGTGATCTTGATGAAACATGGATATTTGAAAATGGTTCAGTAGTTAGGTCCATAGCAAGACGATAGTGTCAAAAGTATCAGGACGTTCAAAATAGAAGGGAAAAGTTAGTAATGTGTCAGTTTCACGTTGGTTATTTATTCTTCTCACTATATTTTAGATATATTGTATTCCATGTAGGTACAAGCAATGGATTTATTGATGAAGCAGCCCTGGTATTTTCTTCTAATACCAAAAATCCAGACTATCATGGCGAAATGAATCAACAGAATTTTCTCAAGTAGTTTCAGTTACTCATGAATCTTGAAGAACCATCACTGATTATTATAGACAATGCAAGCTACCACAGTACCCTTGCAAACAAATGTCCCAATGGTTCATGGAAAAAAGCAGAAATTCGTGAACGGCTTTAACAACATGACATAAGTTCAGATCCACAGCTGTTAAAAACGGAACTTCATCATTTGGTTGCACAGTAATGCATATACTATTCTCTATCGTTTCATTTAAAATATCATGTTTTTCAGAAATAAACATCCAAAAACGTATGTTGCCGTGAATTGGGCCAACAGAATGGCCATAGAGTATTGCGTTTGCCGCCATATCATTGTGTGTTTAACCCTATAGAAAATATTTGGGAAATTACTACAAATTATTATTCCAAACACATTGGGCGTGATGGTTATGGTCAAACAAAATTCAGTGGAAATGTGGAAAGAAGCGTTAGCACATGTCACGCCCACAATGTGGAAAAATACTGTTGACCATATGAATAAAATAATACGGGAGTGGTGGGAACGGGAATTATTATTTGACCGTGAAGAGGTTGCGCCGTTTATAATCGACATTAACGAAGATTCAGATTATAGTTTTAGTGATTATGACAGTGAAGATTCTAATACTGCAGAGGGCATTCAGCCACTGTAACATGTAGGTTATTTTCCATTATTATTATTATTAGTACAAAAATAAGGATGGAGGTAAAACCTATGCATCCAGATAGAAATAAGAGACAATTTCAATAACGAATGAAAAAAAAAAGCTGCACTCCTAAATAATACAAATAATAATTGGATATACCTACTAGAACTTATAAATTGAAAGCGTCGAATCTGTTCTTGAAGCAGTTAACACTGGGAGAATTAACAATTGTATCAGGAAGGCTGTTCCATTGGTTCACCACACGGTTTACAAGAAAATTTGAGCGAGACCTGGAAGAAGTTCTTTCTTTGATCAAATTGAACTGATGTCTTCTGAGTCTATCATTGATATTCAAACGATACATGTACGCTAAGTTCGATCCTATGATATTATGCAGTACTTTAAAAGTGAAAATTTGGTCGCCACAGGATCTTCTGTTGGCTATTGTATCCAATCCATACATTTCAAGCCGTTCTTCATAGGATGGTCTTGTCCTACCAAATGGTAAGCGGGTTGCGCGCCGCTGGACAGCTTCCAATTGGTTGGTGTCCCTAATTAAGTCGCAGCTCCATACTGAACCGCAGTACTCTAAAATTGGTCGAACATAAGTTATATAGAGCTTCTTCGTTAGTGCAATATTCAATGAGACAAATGTTCGGCTTATCAAATACAGTTGACGGTTGGCTTTGTTACAAATGTTGGCAATATGAGTAGACCATTCTAACTTGTTTGTAACAGTTACACCTAGGTCACAGTGTGACGTTTCTTCTTTTAGGCGATGATTACCTAACCAGTAGCTGTTCATGGGATTATCGGGACCGAAATACAAGACTGTACATTTGTCGGTATTGAGAGGTAGTAGCCAGGTTTCGCACCATTGATAGATTATATTTAGATCTTCCTGTATGTTGTCATGATTACTTGAATGATCGTAGATTTTTGAATCGTCAGCGAAAAAGGGAGATTTGGAAGAGATGAGTTTGGGAAGGTCGGCAATGTATATGATGAAAAGAAGCGGTCCTAGGACACTACCCTGGGGAACCCCACTTGTGACAGGTCTTAAAATAGAAAAAGTCTGTCCCACACGTACTTTGAATGATCTTGTTGACAGATAAGCCTCGATCCAGCTTAAAAGTGTTCCGGTTACTCCGTATGATCTGAGTTTGAGAAGCAGTCTTCTTTTGGGAATTCTGTCGAATGCCTTCGAAAAGTCTAAGTAGATGACGTCAACAGGGATACGACTTTCGAAGGCTTTAGTCCAGTCGTCGATACACTGCAATAGATTGGTTGTTACCATCCTAATTGATTGTACTAGCGGCATGTTTTGCTGATGTCTTTTATAATCACACTATCACTTCACTGGCCAAATATACAGATCACTGGTCAGATGAAGACGTTGTGAAACATCAATAGTTATTATTATTTATAGTTTACTTTTGTATCTATTCCATGTCAATAAAGTAACTTATTCTGTAGATGTGACGTGGCCATTGTGGCATTGAAGACGATAAGAATATTTCTCTAACTTGAAGCCTGTCACAACAGTTCAATGCTGTCTGTTTGAGACATATGTTGACATTCTCGTTGGTAGCTTTAAGTACAGTATGAAGCCTTGTACCACCCTGCAAGTATGTGTTTAACACCCAATTGTCAATTTTTACCAGCAGTCAATGCAAAAATGAATGTTCTTAAAGCCAGTCATTCACGTTCCAACGCCGGGGTACAATTGTATTAGATACAACTGCTGTACAATTCTGCTGATAAGCAGCAGTACACACACGTTACAACCTTGCAGTTAAAAATTTGCGATCGTGGTGGCAACATGTCCGAAGAAAATGGACTTTTATACCTGCTTTCACGGTTTGTATAACGTACACTGTCCACACGATCAAATTTCCATCCAATACAACACGATTGTACTGCTGTAGACAGACTTCTTCACCAACCGTCCACATCCAACCGATTTGCTTGTCGCATACACAGACGTTCAAAAACACTTCAATTTCGTCATATCCTACACAATTGTACCGCGGCGTTGGAACGTGAGTGGCAGCCTTCAGTGACTAGGAACACGTGAAAGGGGTTACAGTCATGATCTTTCCTGTGCCTGAGTTTGTAATTCATAGCATCTGTGCAGCCTGCAGCATGCCCTTGTGTGCTGAAACACTGCAAGTGTAGCTTATTTCTTAACTGTTGCTTCACACTAACGGTCTTCTCATGCTATAATCATAAATAGAACAAACCAAAACAATAACAAGCTGACATGTTTGTTGACAGTTTTCAAACCGATTCATTTGTATGATAAACGTGGTAGACGCATGACGTCATACAGAGTCCGTGACGTGTACGCATTGCTTCATGATCCTGACTATATGCTAGTGTATCAACCTATCTATTCTACAACCGTGCCCTATACCTAATTTCAGTTGATTTGTACAATTGGTTCTCAAGATATTTAACCGTTTCCATTCATTCTAGCGACCCAGTGTAGTCATTAATAATAATTAATACTTGCTCTTCCCGCCTTTTTCTGAGAAACATGGTACGTACTATGAGAAGAGACGGGATTTGCCGCATTTTTTTTTAAATCTTGTCTCTAGTTGTATAGTGGACCAAAAGCTAGAAGGTTATATGGTCATCATAAAATCATCCCATTCTGTCGAAGTTAAGTTGTTTACAATAGAAAAGGTTTTAGGGTCGTAAATAACGATTCCACTGCAGCTCGACCGGCTGTTGTGGTTTCGTTCAGGGGCGGCTTTCACTAAATATGAAAATCCACCACTCCACTATTTCAAAGAGGAGAAATATTTCTCCTCTTTGACTATTTCTTTACTACCTGCAGTCGCTAAGGGTTCCGAAATAACCACTCGCTTTGAAAGCCGGCCCTGTTAAATGTTAAATGTGAGCAAGAAATGTTTAGAAGACGATTTATTGCCAACCGGTAAGCTTAGTGCGAACCACAGAAAGGGGGTATTTATTTGCGGTCAACTACTTTTATGATGGTCATATAACCTTATATCTTTTGGACTAGTATAAGACTTTTATCTCTTTAATCTTTTCTCCTAAATAAACTTTTATGAAGGTCCCAAACGGTCGATCAGCTTACCTGCCTAGTGATTGACGGCTGTCCAACTCTCTCCATAGTGTTTGCATTGTGGATTGCCTAATTAAGAAAACATAAATACGGGCTCGGTCCGACGGACCCTTAATAGTTTTGATACTCTCTTTTGAGGGGACGAACTCATTCAAATCAAACTAATTTCTACGTGGCATTTTTCCGATGTACATATAAACATAAACATTTTCAAGTTGTTTTTCTCATCGAGAATAAGCTAAGGACGTACAGTAATGAAGTCCATCGGGCAATAGACAAGGCCGTAGCTAGGGGGATGCTGAGCCTCCCCTAGATCTAGACAAGTTATAATTAACCAAATGTGAATTACAACATTGAAAATCAAAATAGCGTGTACTGTTTTATTCAATAAGCGGAAGTCAGAGTAATAAAAAAGTCTGGACCGTCAGCATTATGATACGGTTATTGCAATTCGTGGAAAACATGTTTTAGTTTAGTTTTTGTTTCACTCTCACGTCTATAGGTTGATGTGTTATCGCTATTTATCTTAAATTACGAGTACAATAAATGATTTTCAGTTCAGTCTTCAGTTGCACCTCTGTTATTACATATGGCAGATGTGATTAAATTGTTTCGTTGTTTTATTGATTATAAATCACTCAAGAATAATAATAATACAATACTTTTATTATTAGTATTACAATGCCTCTATCCAAACTGATATATACATCCTTGCAAAAATGGAGATTGACATCCATACAACATTTTGAAATAGAAAAACTCACTTGTAACAAACGGTTAGTACGTTTCTTTACCTTTACTCAAACATAATTTGAGCTTTTTTTAGCTTATAATGGTTGCCATAAAAAAGAATAAAATTCGCAAAATGAAATCTTTTAATTTTTCGAAAGAGCTGGATTTGACAAGCCGTAATTTTTTACTCTAATTTTTTTAAATTTTAGCTATCCATCCTAATCTCACAAATCATATGTTCGGTTTTTGTACAACAAACTATCAGTTGTCGCAGTAATTTCAAAAACCAGATGATCCACGGAGCAACAATTATGGAACTTATTCCTATATGGGCGGTTTAAGGACTTCATGAAAAAAAAAAACACCTTTCGGACCTTCGTAGTTATAAGAGTACGTTACGTAAACTTCAATATCTCCAAAACTAGTCGTCTGCACAAAAATTTAGTGTCATTATAATAATCACAGAGTTTGTAAGGGGTTTCAAAGAAAAATTTTTGAAAAAACCCCCAAACCGCTAAAGTAAAATTTTACAACCATAATTCTGATTCTTCCCAGTTGTGTGTGGTCGCCTGACTGTGATCGACAATCTTTATTTGGTATCTTAAAAAAAAGGCGAGCAACTAAAAACTTTATTTCTTCTGGCACAATACCTATTTATTAAGTAACATATTTCTGAAATCTTCATTACTTTTACTCTGAACCGGTTTAGCCTCTCCATTGCTTGTGTCGCTACTTTTCACCTGAAGAGCCCTAGGAATCAAAGGCATCTGTAATTTGCTTCTCGCATGACGAACTGGACCTGTCGGTTTTGGCACGTTTGGTGTCTTGGGAGGTGGTGCGCTGATAGCAACCGTGATCGTGTTTTCCCCAATTTTCATTTGATCTGTTTTATTTTTAGCTTTTTTCGCACTATTCTCGTCATTAAACTCCACATAAGCCAAACCCTTTGACTGTCCATTCCGCCGCCGAACAAGCCTCACCTCTTTAACGCCCCACGATTTGAAAATTTCTTTGATATCGTCTTCCGTTTTATCAAACGGTAAACCTTTAACAAAAAGTTTGTTATCTTCCGTTTCGACCGAATATTTAAAACCCGCTTTCCGTTCGGTGCGGTCTGGCTTACAGTTCGAGATAAAAATCGGTCGCCCGTCGAGGGGTTCTCTGTCTCTGGCTAGCGCAGTCATCACTTCTTCCTCCATGTTGAACTGAACGTAACCGTAGCATCTAGATTTACCTTTGCGGTCCATTACGACTTCAATGTTGACAGAATTCGGAAACATCTTCTTGAGTCTTTTTTCATTGACACTGGTGTGGAGGTTACTCACGAACACAGTTCTGGTGGGATCTTTTAAAATTTTCTTTTTCGGCGAAGTCTGTTCGGTTTTTTGCTTTTTGGAGTCTGTTGCTGTTTCTTCGTTGCTCTTTCGTTTTGTACCTTTTTGAGACGCTTCTTCGCTTGTAGTTTGCACTTGTGGGGGTTCGACTTTGACAAGTTCGTTACGTTTCTCGATGCACTTCATTACATCACTCAACTTGCCACATTCTCTTTCAAACATTAACCATTCTTCTGCCACGTATTGTGGCCAATCTGTGCAACTCGTCAACGCTCTTTGAAACAAATTCCTCAACTGGGTTGGTTCCCCGTATTGTCTTTCTAAGTTAGCATATTCAAGCCAGACGTTCGCAGCACTTTTATTCTGTGGGTTTTTCAGAATGTTCTTCCACAAGCGTCTGGCTCCTGCCATGTCGCCGTTCTTTGCCAAAATTCTGGCATACCATTTCGTTATTTTAGCCACACCTTCATCTTGGTACCGTAGCTGGTTAAGGGCTTGGTCAAAAGTTTTATATAACTTTTCTTTGTCAGTAGAGTTGCGGTATACATATTCAAGGTACGCCAACCATAATTCTGTGCCTTGGTTGACTCCCAGATTAGATATACCTTGTTCGAAACACGCCATTACTTCCTTCTCTTCTTTTTCTAGATGCTCGAGGACTCTCAACCTCATAACCCATAAGTCTTCGCTCCAAGGACAATTTCGTAACGCTTTACTGCTAACTTTTGCAGCGGTGTCTCCTAGTTTGAGAGTATACAAACAATAGTCCAACCAGATATTGATGTTCAGGCACATCTTTGCCACGGCTCGTTCGTAAACACATAGGATGGTGGAAGGGTCTGACAAACTTTTGATATAGTCTTTGTACACTTGTAGCACTTCTGTTTCGTCTTCAGTTAGCAAAAGTTTTTCCTCGAACGGAGCGTAGCTTTGTAATGCTTTTAAAGCTTTCTTGTATCCCCATTCTACTGCTTCTGTGTTAATAGTGTGGTCTTTGGGGAGTTGTTCCACCAAAGTTTTCCATTCTGCGTAAGTTTTTTCCATGTTTACAAGCGGAACGGAGAGTTGGCGTCGGAAGACCTCTACCACACGCGAAAGTTGTTCTTTCCATTCGTCTGTATCTTCTTGTGCTATGGATAGATGAGCCAACTCTAGTTCTTTGAGGGTGTCCCATAGGAGACTACCTTCGGCAGTGTGTAACCCGGCTGCTGTTAGACCTTTTTCTAGGATTTGTCGCGTGGTGTCCAAGTTGCTAGCACCTATGGAGTATTGGGCATATTCTATCCACAAAGTGACAGCTGTTGGACAAAATTATAATACAAATAACAATATGAATAATCAAAAGCAACTGATTTTTTTAAAACTTCCAATAAATAAATTTCCGTGAAACCAATATACCAGGTGTCTGGAAAATGGCGGATTAACTCGTCAGTACGTTATATACGGGATTTCGGGAGTCCCCAAAAAATAATAAAAAAACTCCAAATGATGTACATTACGAAAAAAAAACGTAATTTTATGAAAGTAAAATTGACAACATTGTACCCACCTAATACGTGAATATAGACTTTGCCATTTCTATTGCAATACCACTTGTTAATCGTAAATTTGGCAACGTTCATATTCAGACAATTTTCTAACTAAAAGCCGTTGTCAATCAACCGAAAGCTGTTACCAATTGCTAAATTTTAAGCAAAATCAACAGGTGGTGTTTCAATAGAAATGGCAAAGACAATACCTCCGGCTTACTTTCTGATTTCTTACTAACGATGGTGACCGAAATCCTTTTACTTTTTTTAGGACAACAACCATAACAACCAGTAGTCATTAATCGTTGTGCATTATTATTTATTAATAAAACAAGCTATTATTTTTCATTAATAAATAAACAAAAAAAAACATTTAATAAGACATTTATAAATTATAAACAAAAACAAAACCAACAAAAGAAAAATCCATTAAAGCATAACCAACTAAACACTAGAGAATATGTTTAAAATTCCTGCCTTGTGCATATAACTAAGCTCGTAATGTTTCCAAATTTGGATCACTTTTTGTAAAAGTTAGTCATCGCTACTTGCTAAGAAAACACTGATCTTGGTAAATGAGATACCCTCTAATATAGCCCCTAGAAAACACATAGTATCGTCACCGTGGAGCAAACCTGGCGGAAACTTAACAAAAACAAAAATTATAAACACCATTTGACAGACCGCGAAATTTACAATGGTTTTATGTTGGATTTAAAGTTTGTAGTTTACATACAAAATATGGAGTTTTAATTTGAATAATATATAAAATTTAATCAATAAAATCTTATTTAATATAATTTTTAGTTATATTAATTGACAATTAATTGACTTTAAACAAAAAGACCACGCCAAGGCCACGTGACAACAACGGTTTACCCACTGTCAACTTTCTGCTGACACAATTTGGTTCCAAACCAGGGGAATTTTTTGCGTTACCAACTGCATTTGCTTCACTCGTACAACAATGGATGACGGTAGGTACTATGTATTTCTAGGGGCTATACCCTCTAAGAAAAGAGAGGGCGGGTGGGCGGGGCTACTACCTGCTAAGATAAAACTGATTTTGCCAAATGAGATACCCGCTAAGAAAAGAGAGGGCGGGTGGGCGGGGCTAGTAACTGCTAAAATATTGTTTAGTGGTTAAACGTAGCCAAAGAACTAATTTTAAAACCAATATAAGCCCACCAAAATGTGAAAAGGATTTTTTTTACTATTTTTCCAAGGCTCCCCAGATGACTGTTAAGAGCGTAGCACCATTTACCGACTTCAAGTCACTCAACGCGCATTATGTAGCTTTAACATCTCAATATAACCTTTAACTAATCATTTAATAAATGGATCTTTACCGCAAATTCTAATTTTTGATATTGACAGCTGACAGAATGACGTATCAGTAGTACCACCTATCCAACTGGTCTCCTAGCCAACCCTAATTCCTTTTATTTGCAAACAGAATTTAAATAGACTACAATAATAAAAAGGTCTGAAATTCCTGAAGCAATTGGCGGTATTTTTCAAATATTTTTGTAGACATTTGCAAAAAATACTTCAGTTGCTAGCCTTTCTCAACGTTAATATTAATTGAATTTTCTCTTTTACTTTTCTTAAACACTTACAGACATAATCCTCCATGGCCTTTTCAAATAATGAAAAAACATATTTGACTTCACTCTCAGAATTCGCCAACCTTTTTTCATCATTAATCCACGCAAGCCAAATCTCGGGTGTGAGCGGAAAATATTCATGGAATCTCTCATAAGCCAACCGCATCGAAGCTAAATCTCCAAGTTGTCGATACAAATTAACCAGTTCCTCGTGTGCGTTGTACAAATATTTATTATCAGATATTTGTCGCTCTAAATCTTCAGCTTTGCTAATAAGTGCCTAAAAACATATTTATAGAAGAGGGAATTTTCCTAGCGAGGCAATTACCTGCTCGGCTTCATCGTCAGAACTGGAGCTGTCTGAATCCGAGTTGACTTCCATTGGTTCATTGTGTTCTTCTTGCTCTTCCATTCTGATGAATATTTATTTTATTAATCGGAACACAAATGAATCGAAAAACGAAATTACGTTTCTTGTACGGAGGAAGTGAGGTTATGTTTATTGTTGTGTTCCAGAGGTTTGTACTAGTACCTGTGCTAGTACGAAGAATGACAACGTAATTTTGTAGAAGGAAAAATTTGAGGTTTTAGCTAACTCCGTTACTACATTGTAACATCAGAAGTATGTTTGTGTTATTTAAAAGTTTTTATAAATTTAATTTAATTTGTAATATTTCGAAACGCCACGACTGTTTTGGTGCTTCTGTTTTACATTGACGATCACACCTGCGCATGCGCTGATGTCAAAAATTAGACGAATGTCATTAAAATAACAATTTCAAATAGTAGTTGTCGTTACCGGTGTTCCAGTCATAAGTTCTTCTATTTTTATATTTGTGATAAGTTTTGCCTTGATTTTATTGGGAAAACAATCCACCTTGATATAAGTAGCAATCCACATATTAATGCCAGTATGTCAGTTGAAGTTAGAGTAGAAGAATGGTTAAGAAAAATGGGATACAATGGTGGAATACCAGCAAGCTTACCAAAGTTTGTTTGTGACTTAATTTTTCAAATGTGTAGGTAAATTTTGCTTTTTAGAATTTGTAATCCGTCAACTGCGTTTATTTGGGAACAACTTATTTCGAATGTCAGACATCGACAAGAAGTGGATCATATAAAAAAGACTGTTATCGTGAATAGATTGTCTAAAAAACCACTTGAAGAACAGGTAAGTTGGTAAAGTTTTAAATGTTTTTGTCTACGAAAGTTTTCCTAGGATCAGTTTAGTTACCCAATAAAGGAAATTCAAATTTATATGGAAAGGCAAAGGCTTGAAAAACATATTAAGAATTTAGAACGACATATTGCAGAGAAAAGAGATACTGTAGATGATATTTTAAGAAAGAATAAAGTGACTTGTAAGTGGTGGAGTGGTGTTAATTTGATGTTTATGTTAACTCATGTAATTTAGATATGAAGATTGAGAATATAAAAGCAAAAATTAGAGAAAATCAAGAGAGAAAATTTTTGTTGGACAAAAAGTCAAAAGTTATAGAGAAAGACATTGAACATGGTCAAGAAGTCCTCACTATGGCTAGAAATCTTACACCTGTAGAAATGGAAGCAAGTGCAAACCCTGATGAAATTACAGTAAGTTGCTTATTTAGACAAAGGAATGTTCTCCAAATTGTTTTAATTAAAACTCAAACCGCTCATGACCAATTTTAATCTACTTCATTTATGGAACTGTATTACTGCTTGCCATTTAATGGCGGCTGGTTCATACATGTGAATTTTACATCTCTTGTTTTGTAGAAAACCTTGCAGAAGTGTGCTGAAAAACTCCAAAAACTATCTGATGGTGTTTCAGTCCCACAGTCCAACAAAACTAAATCTGTATCAACATCCCTAATAAGAACTGTCAAAAAGCCAACATATTCAAACTGTAACGCATTTTCTCGATTTTTAAATCAGTCAACGATTTTAAGTGACATCGCGCCCACCACATGTAAAAAAATGAATTACAAAAATAAAGAAAACATCAATTTTACACAACACAGCACAGCTATAAGTAGATGTTTGAAATTCTCAGATACTGGAAGTGAAAAAAGTATCACCAATGATGAGACTGAAAAAACACTGAAAAGGGAGTCTTTGGGTATCTTGTCCAATGAATGCTTAGACATAAGTGATGATTTGGACAATTTTTTGTTGAGTCGGAGTAACGTGGGTGATGTATTTCTTCAACCATTAACAGACTCGCTGCTAGAACCACCGACAAAAGATGTAAAGGATGAAATACTTGATAAACTTCGTAATGATAAGAATATAGAGCAGATTTTGAAAGATTTGTTGCATGAAAACAATCGTTACCTAATCATGACGCAGTGGGAAAATATTTATGAGCAGTTACTGAAAGATCTGAGCATTTCTATAATCGATTGTAACAAACTTGTTGGGTAGGAATTTAAATTCTTCAATTTGGTTATAGTTGTAATTGGATTGGTTAGTTCTTTCAGCTCAAAGAGAAGCATCCGTCAGTCTGATCTGAGTGAAATGTACTTCATTCACCTGAAAAATGAGCTGGAGAAAGATAAATGTCGAATCCTCTTGAAAACAAAACAGGAAGCTGTAAAACGGAAGAAAGAGGAAATTTGTGTAAGTTTCATCAAAGGGTCACACACTTTTCCAGTATTGTAGTTTCAGATGGGGAGCAGGAGGCGAAATAGTGATGAAATGAGAACAATACTTGAGTCGCAGATCGAAGAAGTTTATTTAAACGGAGGTAATAATTTTTTACGTAAAGAAATTGATTCTGCCAAAACGTTTGAAAGCGATATTGATATACAAGCAATGAATCTCAGAATTAAACAATTACAAGAAGATATTGTATGTGTATTTGCAAGTGTGTATTTTTTAATTATGCAAATATTGTTTTAGATTGAGAAAGTACGTGATATTCAAACTTTTATTCCAATCATTTATAAAGTTTTGAAAGATATTCAAAATAATCAGACTGAAACGTCTCACTGTGTGAAAAAATTATCTCCATATTTTCATGAAATTAACTGGGCTGGTAAGATGACACAAAGCGTCAACTCCCGCGAAGTTGAAGTTTTCCGTGAAGTTCCTCTGGAGTTTAATAGAAAATTTAAATATAGGTATGAGGCTACCACTGAAATCATATTTATTTGTTTATTTATGTATTTGTATTTTAGTCAGTTGCAGGTGTACCACAAAATCATTAGCGACACGGTCATTCCGTCGTATGTCACATTTGATTCTGAAAATTTAAATTTGCTTACGAGATTAATAAAGACTCCGTTTAGCCCGACTGAGAGCGTTATATTTGACGCCCTGCAGATGAAAGTTTTGTCAAATAAGTTACGCTTAACAAATCCGTCAACTGAATGTTTAGATTTGGATTATCAAAAATGTATTATTTATTTTGTCACTGAGCTAAACCTTAAATTTTATAAATTGTGTTTTAGTTTCTTTAGGTGAACTTGAGAAACAAGAAGAATACGTTCAACCTGTGATAGAGAAATTGGATTCCATTATTAATTCAGATCTGGTGAAAGGAGTCTTATCAGCTCCAAACCGTATGAAGGAATTAGGTGATTTGTGGCTGGAGATGCCGTTTAGAAAATATATTTCTGAGAACAGACAAGTTGATGGGTATGGGTATAAGTATTATGAAAAAGTGTTGGGGGCGTTCAAAACTGAGTAATTAATTTATTTAAGGCTGATTTTTTGTCATTGTAATTTATATTTTCATATGCTTTTATTGAATAGTAAATTAAGTATACAATATGTTTGTTTATGATTCCCGTTGTCTACAAAGAATATAAATTTAAAGTAACTCAAAACTGATGTGACTCGTGAAATTTCGCCAACAACCCTGCTTCTGTTGGTCACGTAGAATGGATTTCATTTCATATTGACGGTCAAGATTGGTCATATTCTTTGTGAAATTTAATTCGTTAACTTGATAGTTTAGTTAGAAAAAATCTATTTCATTGCACAATATTTTTGGATAACTTTTCGTTCTATCAATTTTCAACTGATATTGTTTATGTAGTTCATGATAAAAGTAAATTTACTTGTATCATGCTTTAATTTAAGATAATTTTTTGACCGCGCCGAGCATTTGAACACGAACAAAATTATTTATTTGGGTGTAGGCCCATTTCCTTGGAAATGTAAGAGCTAACCTACATGTGGGGGAAGAGGAAATAATTAAACGCTCCTAACATTTTAATATACATATAGTGAAATATAAAAACTACAAGCTTAATAAAAGAATAAATGAGTAAAGATATAAATGGAAAATATCAAAATAAAACATAAGGTTAAACTTTGTGATCGCCCAAACTTCCCGCCTTTAAATTGACCTCGAAGAGGTTTGAAAGGCCCGCGAAAAATTCAAAGTTTGGCCTTGGCTGTGATCGTCTAACAAGATGGGAACCTACGTTGTGTGTTTTTTTTTTTTGAAAAGTGGCGGGAAGACGTTCTTTCATACAAGTGAGCACACTGCGTGTAAGTGGAGAGCGCAAGAAATAATAGACAAAATTGTTTTGGAGGGGCTAGCACGGCACCCCTCGCACGAGGAAAGAAGCTGCGAGGATTCACTCCTCAGCCCCAAAAACCCCCTATCGTATATTCACGGACATATTACATTTCGAACACCTTAAAAATATTAAAGAAAAGACACTCGCGAATTGACAGACATACACGTATGAAAAACGAACAAACGCAAAATCCTATACATCTGTTTGGAATGAATGTAAATATTTGAAGATCACTAATTTAATAAAAACAAAGCAAACTCTGAATTAAAGTAACTGGATGGAAATACACAAATTATTACGAGCGTGTGGCGCCAAATTTAAAGTTACGGCAGTTAACAGGAGCACAACAAAAGTACTCCTGGGGCGTTCTAGCATAAGCGGAGTTTGGGGCTGCCGGTTCGGGCTGGTCTCCCCCGCGACGGTGATTCTATTTATCGGCAAGGCTACCGCCCAGCACTCCTCTATCTAACGAAGAGACGTACCACGCTACCCAGGCCGTTTCGGTCGAAAACTGTTGGTTGGAATGTCAAAGGCTCTAAATAAGCTGACAGCTTCAAACGTCGTCCAGACCGTTCCCACTGACTCTATACAAAGCCTGCAGCCCTTGTGCAGATGGCGCGACAAATCCCAATAGCCAAAGCCAGCAGCCGCTCCCTACGCTTCTGCTACGTGTTTCGGTGTTATTTAACCTCAGTTCCATTTTTTTTTTATGTTCAATTTCTTTTAATTCTGATATTAATAACAACTGAATAAGTGTTAAAGTTTCAAAACAGCAATAAACAACATTTAAATTCGCCATATAATCTTGTGAAATTTTAAACAACAAATAATTCTTATGTGAGATTAAAATTGGACATCAAACAATTTATACGGTGGAAACATTCATCAACAAAATATTTACAAAGCAAAACTTAGCAAGGATTTAGGAAACAAAAAATCTGGTGTGAAATAAACTTATACAATTAAAAATATGTGAGGTTAAATCTGCAGTGAATGAAATTTACGTTCAATGAAAATTATGCAACAGAGGAAAATTACTGAGGTTAAAATTGTGAGATTAAAGAAATATTGTATGAGGTGGAAAATTGCAAAGTTAACAAAATTTACATGAGATTAATATTTGCCACACTTTATCAACGGTTCAAACAAAGAGATTACATTATTATGTTAAATTATGTTATGACCTAAGTGATTGGTTACCCCAACAAAACACATAATAAACAGACACAAAAATAGCCAAGCATCGTTGCGGGGTAAAAGCGTCACGGTGATGTAAATTTTTATCGTTGCAAGGAAATACCTCTATGGTGTATATTTTAGCGGTGGGAGGAATAAGCCTCGTTGATGTTATTTAATATCTAGCGTTGTGAGGACATGCCTCGATGATGTAATTAATCTGTAGCATTGTGAGGGCGTTTAACTGCCATAAATGAACTATTAGCAATCTTGTGTCAAGAATTTAGAAGTGTTATAATGTAACACTTACGTATATGCATCCAGAAACTTATTCGTAATTAAACAACAAAGGTATTTTTCTGACTAAGTGAATTTCATGAAACCTTCTAGCAAGTGGTTTATTTAACTAATCCTGATTGCTAAATTGTTTTAGCACTAGCTGACGATTAAGAAAAGCTAACTTGATTGGTGAATTTACAAACAATAAAACAAATTTACAACACGTGTTTCGCGTTGAACAGGAGTCCGCCATTTTTCGATTAAAAGCCGCAAGAATTAGCTGCGCGAGTTGGGAACAACTGAGCGTCGACGGCGTTACGATTGATTGTCGTTAAACAAAGGCTTCCTCCTTTTTATTAACTACCAAACCAACTAATTTAAACTAGCTCTTACCACGTGTTTACACTCACAAAAACCACATTCAGACTGACGCGCGGCCATGCTGCTTCTGTCTAACCACCAACCCTCTAACTAAAAATTCCTTAGCGCTACTAATTGTCCGACTACCCTGCAAGGGTTACCGTGCATATTTGGTTGCCTATGTTTAACGATTCCTTCTTTTGTGATTGATTTTTTTTAAATTGAAATTATTCAAGTGTGATTTCGCGCCGCTGTTAATTAATTTCAGCGTGAAAATTTTGATTTAATTTCGGTCACCACAACTTACATAACTAAAACATGCATAACTGTAATAAAAGCATTACACAATTTTGTCCCATTATCAAAATCTTAAAACTTACGAAAATAACCCATGACACTAATTACCTAAAATTAATCTTAAAAATACTCTAATAACATCATGCAATTAAAAACTTAAAAATAACCTAATAAATCCCTAAATATGTGCGATACCTTCTAAAACACAATAATAGTAATAATACGTGCGTGCTAACTAAAGATTGAAAACTACTAGATACGAATTCGAGTAATTAATGTACTTGATTCTTTAATAAACTGTGACTGGGCGTTTACACGCTAGTTACGTACTATTAAAACTGCTAAAAACAATTACAACTAATAATTCGGTGTAAATCAAAGAAATCTTCCCTTGAGAATAAAGAAAAAACTAAAACTAAACGAATTAAAACATGCACTTTAATCTACGCTAATTATGAAAATAAAACATTTAAAAAGAGAGATAAGTATTTTTTTTACTTTAATTAATTCACTAAATACGCCGGGCGAAAAAATCAGTCGTTACGGGGTGGTCAGATAAAATCAAAAATGGATAGTCAGAACATTTTGTCGAAACTAAACGCAGAGAAAATAGTACCATAAATGCTCGAAAGTACGGTGGAAGCATTAAATTCGCATGAAGTGCGGGGTTTCCTAAAATTATCGCAAAACAATCAGAGAACAGGATCATATTGAACGGTAACAAATTCAAAGTAAAGTGGTTCCGGTTCGGAAACTTCCAAAAACCCATCTAAAATATTCGTGTCGCGAATCCGCAAACCGAGGAAACGTTGGATTAATTTTCCTAGAAGGTGATCAGTAAATTATCAAAAATTCCTCCCCGACGACCAAAAGCCGACGCAAGGCTAAGAGTATCACCCGCCAACGAAAATTTTTGTTAACTCTAAAAATTCCTTCCGCCCCCGGCGCTATTTGTTCACGCCAAACCCCACACGGAAAGTAGCCCGTGCAATGGGTTATGATTTTTCGAATCACTGGTTTATTATTGCTTAAAAATAGTTGAAAATGTAACTGAGTGTTGTCAAAGGATGTGGCATTTTGCCACCGTTCGTATTTTTTAAATCTGATAGGATAAGTAACTGTTGCAATAAAAATTCACAAAATCACTTAAAATTGGCTTAAAAGAAGCGTTTGTAACTCGGCAATTAAATGACGCCTTCGAAAAACTCAAACGGAGGCAGCAAGATCCATGTTTCGTAACTGATGTGTATATAAAATTGCGACGTTGTAAATTACAGAATGTTGCTATAAAACGAAAAAACAGAACGGATGTTTTCGGACAAAACGCAAACCGATTTCTGCTCGCCCTCACTCGAGTCAGGTGAGGAAAGACGCTAAGCGGGGGCTCACATCTACTCCCACTCTAAAACGCAAAGCACATTCACGACGAGATCGTATTTTGAAATACTTTTGTCACATTATAATCGGTGGAGTGTTATAAGTCAGCAACATAAAAAATCTTTCTTATATCTCCAGTGCTTTAGATTTAATTGAGACACAGCAATTTGGGAGCCGGAATAGATACTTTCATCGTAAATGTGTCAACTATTTTAATGGAAAGAAATTAATAATAAAAAATTGGTCTAAAGAGTTTAGGCAGTACTTCCCTCGCTGTCGGAAACGTGACGACTGCATGCCTATTATGTTTTTTTCCTATGTACCTATTACATTTTTGTAGAGGGGCATTTTAACATAAATTGAGTATTAATTTTTCAATTTTGTCATTATTTGGCATTGACATCTTTGTAATTTTTTTTGTGATTGCTATGATTGCTTATTAAGAAACAAATAAAATTGGACGAGGTCGTCTCTGGGGTGTCTAATATGTTGCCTATGCAAAAATTGTCAGGCGTTAACATATAAAGGAACACTCTGTATAGTACTTGTAATTTAAGACAAATACGTCTGCAAGATTTCAAAGTATTCAGTTTTTCAATTCTTGATTTAATCGATAAAATTAATTGACTCAGTCATTAATTTTTTTCAGACACCCCGTATAAGCAAATCTAATAGTTATTTATTATACAAGCAGTTAAAGTGAATGTTTAATGAGCGGTCAGTTTAAGGGGAGAGCGGCGTATGCCGCGAGCG